AAATAAATAAATTGCAAGTGAAAAACAACCATTATCATTGAAAGTTGCAACGCGCATCAAAGACTAAATTTAAGATCAAATGTTCATAACAATGCTCTATGAGACTTATTACTCAGAGCCAAAAACATTCTTTTTGACAAAAGTTATTAATAATAGCAAGATCAGCGAACATTGTCACAGCCTTCTGAAGGTAGTAATTGAAGGAAGCAAAAAGTTGCATGATTAGGGTTTGGTATGCTGTACAGTATTAATAATATTGTGCTGAATTGAATAAATAATTGTTTTATTTTGTGTTTGGTGTATATTGGATGGATTGGATGATCAATCTTGTTTCGTTTTGTGTTTGGTAGGCATTTAAAAAATAGAAACTATTGTAATGACAATAATATTGTTTTCTTGTTTTATCTAACGTTTAAAGTTTAGATTATAACATATATTGTTTTCTAAATTGAAATCTAACAAAAAAAATACTCATATATAAGGTCAAAGTTAAATATAAATAAAAATTTTATTTTACATTTAATGTGTATTATTATCAAACTTATATATTTTTTAAAAAATAATTAAATATTATTTTTTTCACTTCAGTTTATATTAAGTATTGAAATTAATAATATTATAATAATTCTAATTACAAAACTCGAAAAGACCTCGCAACTTCATCCAAGACCCGACAGGCATAGTGTTTGGACCAATTCAAGTTTAAAAAGAAATAGAAAAAGGGTTTATTAGACTTGACCCAATCACCCTGAGATAAAACATGGGTAAAAAATTCATTGACTTAATTATAAATTTTGGTCATAATAAAGTTGTTTTGATTCTTTATAAAAAAACAAAATAGGTCAACTAGAGTTGACCCTCCAACCCATGACCTAAGTGTTGCCTCAAATAACCATTTTTATCTTTATCTTGATCTGAGTTGACTTTCTTAAACCTGATTTGAATTTTATCGTAAAAGTTTTTATTGTTCAGTCTTATGCTATCGAGCATAGTTTTTAACTCGAATGTTGGATCAAGATGAATTTTTTTATAGACATATCTAAACATGTTGTTCTATATTAAGTTACAATTTCGAGTCAATCAGAATTTGATAAATGATTATTTTAAATAATCAAAATTACTAAACGAATCTTATCAAATATGTCTATATGGACCTTCGTCTACTTTTTAGACTACATCTATATCTATATCAATAATTATTTTAATATTCCAATTGGGTTGGAAAATAGATATTTATAGCTTTTCATTAATATATGATGGGCTTGTTAATTTATCTGGACAAGAAATAACAATATTTTTAAAATCAGGACTGAAATCTATCAAAAATGTAGGAGACTTGAAGAAATATTATTACCTTGTGTATTATAGATTTCAATTAATACAATAATTTCTTAATATTTTTGGAAAAATGTGTGCTAGACATTGTCTTACCTATTCTACAAGTATTTCATGTCTAACAATGAGATATTTGTAGTAACAACTAATTGCAAGGATTCGATATTTATTATGGAATGTATATGATAACAAAGAGACTTAGAATTCTTTTATTGTTCTTTTTCTTATTAAAAATGAAGATTATGGGAGGCTATTTAAAAGATATATTTCAATCACTTTTCTTTTTATTTTTAAGGGCATATTTTCAGCTAAACAATGAAAGAAATTTTAGTATTTAAAACAATATCTTTCGGTAAAAGAATTAATGCATGGCACAAAAGACACTCATTGTTCTACGTTATTTTGAAAAAAATATTGTGTATGCAACTTTTCCCTTCAGTGGACACATTTTTCTTTCTTCTATTTTTTTCCAAGAATAAATAATTTAAAAAAAATATTTATATAAAACATGAAAAAAAAATATAGATGAATTAGAATAATCTCTTTAATATATATATATATATATATATATATATATATATTGTTATTGGAAAAAAGGATAAATGAACAATCTAAGAAATTAGAGAGAATGAGTATTAATTTAAATATAAATATAAATAAAAAAACTTATTTAGAAAAAATAATGTGGATGCAACTTTTCCCTTGAATGCACATATTTTTTTTATCTCAAAGGTCATCTTTTTTAACTAAGAATAAATAATTTTTATTTTTAAAAATAAATCTGATTTATATAAAAAGAATTATACATGAATCATAATAATCTATTCAAAATATTCAATGCATACAAATTAATTAAAAAATCACTATTTAGAAAAAAATTAAATAAACAATCTAAAAAATTAGAGAGAAGGGGTATTAATTTAAATATAAATAAAAAATATTTCAAAACAATAAATATTAAAAAATACATAAATAAAAATATAAAAATATAAAGAAAAAAAGATCAAATAGTATTAAGTCTAGTAAGCTAGATCCAAATGCTTTGCTCATTATTAAAAAAAACACTTATATGGGCCTACCAGGTTAGACTTACATACAAGTGTTTTTTTTTTTTTTTTGTTAATAATTTTGACGATATGCTTTCAACCGTAAAATGTTTTGAAAAAAAAATAAAAGCAATATTTTGCTTACTTTTTTCTAAATTATAGTCATACTAGTGGCTGAAAAATTAACAAAAAAATAATATTTTTGGATCTAAGAACCCATTTTAATATATTTTTAGCTCAAAAATATTTGTAAAACACCTTAAACATGTTAACAAACTTGTATATAGCCTTAAACAACCAAAAAATCAACTAAGAAACCAAAATAAATAAAAAAAATTTAAGTTCAAATCTATCATTTCAACTAAGTTTACAGGGGAAAAATACTCAAGCTAAACTCCCTTCACTGAATGAAATTCAATAACACAAAAATTAATATTTTTTTGTGGGAAAATTAATATTAATCAATATTTTTTTCTCTATCAATAGAATCCAACTAATTTCTTTCCTTTATCTCAAATAGACTAAAAAGTAAAAGTAAATAAAAATTTGAATCAAAGTTGAGTTTATAAAAAAAAAAATAAGACATTTGAAGTAGATGGTTTGAAAAGTTTACTAAAGGACAAATATTAAGAAAAAAATTACAAAATCATCATTTACAATATAGTGAAACACTCCTGTACTAAAAAATAAAATTAAAAGAGGTTAAATTAAAAAAATTATTTTAAAAAATATAAAATTTCAGTTGTTTTACTATTAAAATTATAAAAATACTAAAAAAATACTAAAAAAAAAAACATTTTCTTACATGCCGGGAGGCTTGCCACTGCCACCCCCTTGTCTCGGCCACTGGAAACACTGTTACAGTCTTTGCAATGCTAATACTGTTATTCCATTGATACGTTCGAAACGAGGACAAGATTGGCATAATAAATTATTATGATTACAATATTATTTACATCCTTGTGAGGAGCTGACCACGCAACACGCGTCCTCCACTTCAGTTTTTATCCCTCAAATTAGGCGGAACTTAACTGTCAAGGAGGTTTCAGAGAATGTCCGACTTGACTTTTAAAGAGGGACGGAGAATATATTATTTTTTATTTAAAAATATATTAAAATGAAAAACTGACCAGACAAACGTGGAACTTGAAAAGGAGAAATTGGAGGTCCAGGGGGCAGGGTTTTGTATTCTAAGATTGATCATGGACTGAAAAACGTGGAACTTGAATTGAAGCCCCATTTCAATAAACTGAACCGATGAAAACCACATTTCTTACACATTTTAAAAAAAATTATTAAAAAATATTTTTTTATGATATATTTTAAATTATATTGATATATTAATCTTAACAATAATTTTTAAAAAATAAAAAAAATATTTTAACATATTTTATTATAAAAAACACTTTAAAAAAACATCAAAAACTTTCCAAATATACTAGAAACCCATTTAGGGGGGAATCTCATTTTATATATATATATAAATAAAAATAAGAAGTTCAGAGCATGGCATGGAAAACTCCTTGAATGATAATGCTGCGAATCCCTCCTGCTCTTGTAAAAGCAAGGCATTTTTAGGCACTGATACTCATCATTACAATACAACTCCTGTACACAGGAAACGCAAAAGCTCAGCTGGCCTGTATTGTAATGGCGCAGAAGGCTGCCTGCCATGCTCGCGTTTCAATTTCCCAAAAAGCAGATAAGTTAGCCTCTTAAAGATGTAACTGGTGTACAGTGCGATGTATCACCATCATTGCAAAACCACAACTGGATGCTGGAAAAGGAGCTGCTGCTGGATTAGCCTCACTTTCCCAACTGAGTTAATATCCTGCTTATCAAAACTTCCTTCTTCCCTGTAACAGGAAGATTGTGCGCTGTCAAGTAATACTTCAGCTCCGTTACTGTCAAGTCCTTCAACTGCAAAACAGATCCATGAAAAGAGGGATTGTTATCCTTTAATTTAGTAACCTATATTCGAAAATTTCCTTATTCATTTGTTACAGTAAGATATTATAAATAATTTCAACAAATTATAAGCAAATAATTTCCATCAACCAATTTTATTTAGCTCATGGTGTTATCGACATATCTGTGCAACTGCGAATGAATATGCTATAATCTCCAAGTATCTCCAGTTAACATTCAAATAGGAACGACATAGCTTCCCTCCAAATCACTTGTTTTTTGATAATGACTTCAAAAAAGCTTAAAAGGAATCAGTTCTTCTGTTCCCTTTTCATCTTCCTAAATGATTTATTATGCTTAGCTTGTTTGGATGGTGCGATCCAAACAGAGGGAAAAAATCATTAACTTGTTTGGATCAATAAAATAACTTTGTAGGCCCCCATACATAAAACAGAGATTACTTTGATTTGGATTGTGATTTTTTCTTGGAGAGAGTTTTCTGTAGGTATTGCTGTTCATTGAACAAACAAAGCCTGCAGTTTTTTATTGATCTCAAGAAATGTTTAAGAGAGAGCTTTGTTTGCTCAAACCAATTGTCTATATTGTTGGTTAAGCCAACTTTGTGCACTTGATTAAGACAAGATACCATCGTGTTTGAAACACAAGAAAGCACACCTGTCCGTTGTCAGCAAGATCAGGCCAGTTGTAGTTTGCAGACTCCTTAACTGCATTTTCAGCAGCTGCTTTCCGTTTTTTGGAGGCGTCGCTTGCTTTTCCATTGCCCATGTCACTTTCCTCATCATAATTTTCTCCATAGACAGAAAGCTTGAACTCTTCAACTGCTTTAACAACTCCTGATCTGTGGTATCATAAATGTGAACATTTGTCAGGTTAACAAAAATGATTGTCAAGATCCACATGAAGGGCACAGAATGAAAGAATGGTGGATGCAGCAAAGGATAGGAAGCTACGAGCTGATCTTACCTGGCCATGCCTTCTTCATCAGGAAGTGTTTCATCATTGATTTCTGGCATGTCATCTTCATCCAGAGCTAGGGCCTGCAGAACTGCATAGTGTCTCTGCAAACCTGTAAGAAAATGTATTGGAAATTGATGATACGGAGAATCCAGCTAAGATTTAAAGAAAAAGAAAAATTATATGATTTCCTCATAGTTCACATAAATCAATGTCCTCCAATAATAGCATTTATTACAGCAAACTAATATTATGGAATATGCTATATCCATGATGCACGAAAATTGTGATCCACATGAATTGAGATTTTATAACTTCATATGTTCAATCAACCCAAACATTGATATTCTTTTTATTTTCTTGCACTGTAATTCAGGATCTCTCATTATAAAAGCCCTAACTTCAATCAAGGGGTTGCCCAGGCAGAGACCACACTTCATAAATGCATGCTATACATTAAAAAATTGGAACTGAGATACAGATTGACCAGTAAGAAAATTTTACTACACCTAAAATAACATGCACTATATTTCATCATTTGCAGAGTAGATTTGACAAAATATAGGAGAGCATAAAAGTTCTTCCTCGTTCAAATCCAGAATCCATGGGTGTATGCGCGCTTCTGAACCTTTCAAAAACTTTATTGACTATTACATGCTTAATAAATTAAACAGTACTAATTCTAATCCTAGCTGAAATCCAACTTTTACTCCCAGCACGATTAAAGTTAAAACCAATCATCTTTTTTCACTGCCATCAATTTCCAATTCATAGTAAGAATCCAAATTAAAATCACTTTTTTCCTCAATAATAGCCATCAATTCGCACTGTCCATGAATTCATATGAAAATTTCCACTAAATTTTTAAGGAAATCTATATCAACATCATATAATAACTTTTATACGAATCAAAGAAGCTAGTTTAATAAACTAAATTTAAATGTGTTAATTTCAATAATAAAATAATTTTTCAAATTGAATAAAACACATGAGGGTGCACACCCCAAAACCACTAGTTAGACTATAAAAAAATTTAGAAGTTTAGACAACAGCCACGTGAAGAGGTTTTCAAAAATTTTCCCAATCATCTTAAGATTGCTTCTGGTATGGAATGAAAAATCTGAAGAAATGTTAAGGAGATAACATCCTAAATTTAAGGGTGAAGTATTAAGGGTAAAGAAAGGTTTAAGAGATGATGTATTAAGAATGTTTGGTAGGAATTGGAAATAACGAAAAGTAGTGGGTCCCAAAAAAAGAGAAATCAGACTTTAGGTTAAATATAATAGCAAAAAATTAAATAGCACATAGTTGCACTCCAAAATGGAAATAAAAGGAGAAGAAAGAATAGATTAGTGTTAAAATCTACAAAAGGAGAGGGAAGGACTCGAGACCCAAAATCCACCTCCCTAAAAATTTTTTCACCCCTCCCCCACAAGAGGATGAAATGCAGGGTAACTTTTCACCCTTTACACCCACACCAAATATATCCTTAGCATTTACAAGCAATCTTCAAGGTACAAAGTCTGAATAATCAAAGCCAGCTTACCAGGGTTAGCAAATTGGAATACAGAAAAATCTTTCAAGTCAATGCGTTTTATTAAAGCAGCAGCCTTTTTAATTTGTTCATCAGTAGCTCGAGGTGCCCCAGCATTTGTGTCTGAATGAATCTGCAGCAAGTCAACCATACCCTTGTTGCTAAGATTACTATATAATCCATTTTGAATCAACTTAAAATTGTACTTGCCTCTTCAACATGCCTGACATCATCAGAATAGGGAAGATATATCATGTGCATTCCCGGTGGCTCAACCTGACCACCAGCACTAATAATCTCATCCTGTTTTTCAAAGATACCAATAAGCAACATTAATGACACAGTAATTTTGAAATTAGACATAACAACAACAGCAATTATGTTCACTGCATAATTAGATCAAGATAACAATTTGTATCACATAAATCACATTGTTTAAGGAACTTAGAAATCTAGCTCAACAGCATGGATTAAGCACCAGAAATTACTTTCTTTCATTACTCAACAAAAGCACAAGGCATGGTATTCAATTCAAAAAGATAGATTCAAATTCGGGAAGAGAGATCTAAAAATATTGGAAAGAAAAAAAAAACACAGGGCATAGTATTCAATTGCAAAAGCAGCAAATGACACAATTGCACACAATGACAGCATGAGCTTATTCAAATGCCCTAGTTTAATAGACCACAGAGTGGGACAACCAAGTTAGAATATTATCATATTCTGAAATGCAATTAGGAAAATAAAATAAAAATGAAACAAAGAAAACAAATAAGCAAAATGATAAATGCATTAGACAAGTATTGGGAACCTAAGCTACTCTCTACCAATCAATCAGTTTAGATTACAAGATTATTTCATTACTCTTTACATTTGAGCAGAATTTAGTTGCAGGGTCGCCCACTTATTTAATGGAATAGGGTAGAAATTCAAAAGATAGACAAAAAAAAAAAGTAATAATGACAAAAATAATATAAGGATGAAGATGGCATATTGATGCCAAAATCAGACTTGTTCACCAATTATAAATTCATGCATGCAACAATCCAATGGTACTTTAAAAATGCAGTATTTTACTTGTGCAACAAGGGCAACCAGTTGAGGACGAGATGAGCTTCCATAAAATGCAACGGCAAAACTGCAAAATTTTCAATGAATGAAGAAAGAAAAAAGAATTAAGGATAAATAAATTCAAATAAATAAAAAGCATGACTAATTCAAGAGATAGGATTAAAAAAAATCAACTTTTGCAATTGATGAACAACACTTCTCTTGGGTTCCATAATTTATATTCCTCCTTTTCCATAACCAAAAAGAAAGTAGAGCTGCTAAAGTTAGGAATCTTGATGCTCCTAGCCACATAAAGTGTAGGATACTAGCACCACAGAAATTATGGCCATCACCTAGTTATGCTCCAACAGAATTTGGGTCCTGGAAGAAGAATTTGGAGATGGTTGTGCACTTTGAAATCTTTATACAAGGTGGATGCGCTAAAGTTTCAAGTCTAGACACAAAGACATGGTTACAAAACCAAGAGTTGCCCATTGCATCATAGAAAGTTCCCTACATTATGATTATGGATATGGATAACAAATATGAATTTCTACAATCCCAGGCTTACACAAAAACTGCCCAGGTACAAGGGCAAAATGCTATCTGTAGATAATACAATAAGGAGAAGGAAAGTAAAAATAATAAATCTAAATAAATACAGACAGCATCTACCATGAGTAGAAACTTATCTCATTACTAAATAATATAGCATAGCAATACATATGAGAGGTATTATTAGATTATATCTTATAAATATTTGGGTTCAAGTTCAAGGAATAATACTACAGTTTGCAAAATAAACACTGCTCACCGTTTAAGGTTTACCATGGATCTAAGCAAGGCAATGAAAATGCAAGTGCTACCAATTACTTCCTGCAACCAATAACCAGAAAAGAAAAAAGCACTATTACATACCAGGGAAGAGATGATTTTAGGATATATGTAAAGCAAGATGGGACTGTTGATTGCCTGGAAACAAAGAAACTCAGAAAAAATCTGGAAATATAATCTTACAATCACCAAATATCTGAAGTGCATATATTTTTTGTTTAATAAGTTAACTACTACTAGTTATAACATCCATCAAAGCCACAAGAGAGAAGTATCGAGCTTTAATGGAGAGTGAAAAGGGAACAATTGAGTGGCTTGAGAGTATTAATTTTACTTCTCATTGAAGTTCAAAATTAAATAGATATTCTACTATTTCACTACCAGACTCTCAATTAACATGTTTTTATGTTGTCAGCAAGGCACAGGCAAATCTAGACGGACTCGTAAGAGAACCATCAAAGCTCCCTGACCTTCCAAGGACCAAATATTAATGACATAAAATAACATTCAACAATATATTGAAGCATGGCTACCCACAAACATGCGCATACAATTAAGATTTTAAAGAGCATTCTAACATGATTCTTAAAAATTATTCTTCATGCTCATCATAGAAATGACATTCTCAAAGACAAACTGTGGAGATGAGTAAATGCAAGCTATCAAGTTTAATCCACTTACCTAGATTTATATATCCTAAAGTGGAAACAATCAACACAACGAATCATATTATGTCCTTTAGATGCAATTTTGTAGGTGAAGTGGATCAAAATATCATTCACACTACACACCCATGAAACCAAGATATTGCCAAATTGCCCAAATGTACTCCCTGTATTAGATAATGTGAAACTAAAAAAACTCATAATGCATTCTTAAAATAAATTTATTTCCATGAATGTGCCATCTTCTATATAGAATCCTATAACATTTCAATACCAACCTAGGGAATCCATCTCTCCACTAACTGCAATTCCTAAAGGGAGATATGGATTTGCTTGAGAGTGCGGTTGCAGTTGCTTTTTAAAGTGCTTTTCATTCCAAAATGCATCAAAATAATGTTTTTTTTATTTTTTTTAAATTATTTTTTGAGATCAGTACATCAAAACGATTCAAAACATAAAAAAATTAATTTTTAACCAAAAAAGGCTAACATAAAGATTTGTAACCCAATCTAGAGGAAAAATTTATTTAACTGTGGCATTACATGGCCATTTATAGGCTTGAAGAAGCATGCTAAGTCATCAAAAAAAACTGTGATCTATAAACCAAAGCAGAATAGGAAGCATGAACTTTAGGAAAATACCCAAATACTATTCAAGGAAAAGAATTAAAACCTTGTCACTAGGAAAAACAAATGTCGAAGGCCTCAAGTTGTGATAATCTTTCAAACAACTTAAGGGCTTGAATCCAAGAAGATGAAGATGTCCCGTTGAAACTCTTTTGATCTCAGACAACTCCTCAACAGACAACATGATATTGTCACTGAACCATAAATTGATTAATTAGACAACAAATGCAAGTAGACAGCCACCATAATTTATCAAATAACAAAAAAAAAAATATTTAAGTTTTGGCATGTACCAAAATCAGCATGCCAAAAAGGAGGGTGTGAAAAATGTAAGGGTATGACAACTTTTAAGTTACAATATTAAATGATCTAACAGGATATTTATTTACATCATATACTCCTAAGAAGAATTTAAAAGAAAATGAAAAAGGGAAAGCAAAAAATAAAGATGCAGCAGGTTCTTGAATCAACTAAGAAAGAAAAATAAAAAAAGCATTAAAAATAACATAATCGACAGAAGTGAAACATGCTTACTTTTTGTAAGGCTGGTATCGTTTTGCAGGTTCTTGCATCAATGCACCAGTATCGGCACAGATAAAAGATCTCTCGGTCTGCACAATGTCAAAATACATGACCTGATTAAGATCTAATACTCACGAGGTGAATCCAAAATCTAAAACAAAAAGGAAGTGATGGGAATAAATTAAAAGGCAATTACATATGATTAGAGCAAGTAAAGAAACTCCCCAGTTTGTATCTAATTAACTTGAAACAAATTCAAGAATATAGCACCATATTCTGTCTTAGAATATCATTGAACAGAACATAACACCTCAATAGAAAACTAACGCATTATCTCCTTAACCTCCTTCAGTGCCAAACTGTAGAGAAAGTTCAAAGCTAGAGCCACAATGAGGTAAAAAGAATACCACACGAAATGCATCATGCCATAAGAAACAATCCAGAAGCTGGAAAGTGCAGCACAAAATGATCAAGACTAAAGATCTCAAATAGGCATAATTCACTTACATTGCACAAAATATGTCCAATGTAAATAAATTTAACCATTAAACCAATAAATAAAATGAAACATGACAATCTGTTATTACCTTCAAAGGACGATTGGTGACAGAATCAAGCCACGTAATAGCCCCTAGGAAACAAAAGCACAAAAAAAATTCATAAACTGCCTTATGTGATGACAAAGATATTATGCAGAAGCCTCTATAACATGATGCAGCGTAGAAGTTCAGAGTAACTGTACCTGGCAAAGTTGGACGAATCAAAGCATATGTATTCAGCTCAATTGACAATCCATTTGCAATTGATAATGTGATTCTTCTTACTATTCGCTTTGTAAACATTCGTTTTCTAAGCTGATCTTTCATATCTTGCAATCTGAGATTAGAACACAATGTGAGAGGATTTTATGAAATAAATAATGCGCAAATACACATGAGATGCACGCAAATATAGATATTCAAACATCACTGTGGATCAATGAGTGTATTATAGCAGGATGTGCGCGTCAATGAGAATTATCATCTTAACAAAAAGCTCTGTTTTGAGGGTTCCCATGAGAGACTAATGTATAGATGTTTGTTTTTGGGTTTACTGCAAGCAAGACAGGCCCCCACAGATAGAGAACAACCATGTCAATATGTGGAAGATAAAATAACTAGCAACTCTTAATCACAAGATGCACAGGTGTCTCCAAAACAAAGAGAGAGAGAGAGAGAGCTCATTTACATGCAGCCAGGTAGGTAACTCTTAACCATAAAATATTTTTATGGCCATCAGTTTAGAACAGCACACACACAGGCATACATACATTTAATATGTGCGAGCATGCAGCTATAAGCATAGGAGCATAACTGTTTGGTGCTCATTAACATTTTTGTGTGCAAGAGAGAGTGTTTTTCCTATTCCAGAAAAACTTGCACTATCATATGAAGCCCTTATAACAGTATAGCCACTACTTGTGATAGTTTTTATTGCCTCTGGAGCATTAGCATTTCCCATAGGTTTAAAATATGGTAAGTCCCCAGAAGCCCAATTTCACAATTGCACTTATGCAATGTCAGACAGAGAAATGAAATAATCCTTGCAAGAGTACCACAAAAAAGAAAATGCATACTTTTGCCCTGCTGAAGGCATAAACTGAGCAAGTTCATCACCCTCCAACCCAATCAAATCCTGAAATATAGTGAATTCTCTATCAAATGTAAATCAACTTACCACCCGGAGAAGTTAATAAAGAAATCAACTGGAGTAGATATGGAACAATGAAAAATCAACTGGTGTAGGCAAGGACATACAGAATAGAAAAGTGAAACATTGAACTCCTCATCAGGTTGACACAAGGGGAGAAGTTCAATTGAGATGCCAAGATCTTGTGCATCCTGAAAGGTGCAACGGCATTCTTTAACAATGAAATTTGAAGTGAAAAATTGCATTCTCACAAAGGGTTGAATTTTGAAGATGTGCTAGTTATGTCAATGGAAATCTATACTTTAGCTCGCTGCAATGTTGTCCTGGTCATATCTGCTTTGGCTACACCCTTGATGCTCCCAAAAGGATCATCTTTGTTTGTAAATAAAAGAATCCGTTTATCAGCTGTTTTCGCAGATCTGAGATGGTTCATCCCTTACATTAGGAAACTATGCATGTAAGATCTTAAAAAAGAAGATGAAAATATCACTTCAGCCTACAAGACAATCAAAGCTATAACATCAAAGACAAAGAAAAATCTGTATTACCCTTTACGCAACAATGCTTGCGCTATCCAGAGAGCATTGTAAAGGGAATTCTCCCGAGACCCAGACACAATACCATACTGACTGCCAATGTCTTTCGTGAATGATTCTGCAAACAAATTAGATGAAAAGTCATTTAATATTTTTAAATTTCACTAAAAAAAAAAGGCTTTATAAAACATGAAGAAACTGCTCTCATTGTTTCCATACTTGCATACAAAGATCCTCAAAATTATTTTTTTCAAAAGTTAAAACATCTATGGAGATGATAAGTCGGGGATAATTATGACCATTCAAATTCAACCATCAGCTTCAACAAGCTATTAAGAATTAGAGAACTGAGCTCTCACAACTTTTGAAACCAGAAGATTCAAAGACCATGCAAGGAAAAACAAGATACCAGATAAAATAAAGAGAGATGAAATCCAAAGCATAGCTACTGGCTACTGCTTCATTTAGCTTTGACAGTGATAGTTGCCACACATTCTTCCAAGAGGAAAAGAAATATTATTAGATTCAATAATCATTGGTACCATGCCATCTGACAATTAACATTGGAAAGTAAACTAGGAGTTAGTTAGAGGTTGTTGGAATTCCACAACTTGAGACATCAAAATGCAGATTCGACAAGGTCTTGCTCTGAAAGACAGACACTATGCTAGCAATGATTATGACAAAAGACTGGTGCATTGAACACAATCGATGTGATACAATTTCAGCAAATAAAAATTTAACCACGCAAAATATTAACATTTTTTTATGTTTAAAACAACAGTGGTCCAAAAACAATGTAAGGTTAGATAAAGTTGAGTAACTTTATTTCAATGTTGAAAAAAAAAAAACTAAAGGACCCTGTCTGCTATAACAATGAGTGAGGAGATAACATAAAGAGTTTAGACCAGAAATCAATAAATCTGTACCAAAGCATGTAGAATATGCTGTTGAGACTTACCCTCTATGCAATCAAAATCTTTGATAAGTCTTGCAGTTGGCCTGTCTAGATACTCTCTCTCCGCAACATTAAATACAAAAGCACCATTTAGATCCTGCAAGTTCTTCTTTTCCCTCTGCAATGATTATCAAATAATGGTGAACTAAATATGCTAACAACTTCCATCATAGCTAGCACGTGATCCTAAAAGAAGACAAGTATACAACCAAGTAACCTTGTCAAATCACATGCCACCCTAAATACCAAACTAACCCCAGGAAAAGGATAAACTACAGCTATGGAATTGCAAAATGTATTGTTTCTTTCATCTACTTACACCCTTTTTTGTGCTGGCTATTAAAGCCAAAAACAAATAAAAAGACTTACAGTGTTAAAGAAGCAGATTGCAACTTCATCATACGATCTATTAATTATTTGGGTCTTCAATGACTGCGCGATACAACTGATAGCTATGTGGAAATGAGTTTCTTCCTTTCCGTCCTCCTGCCAATACCACCAAAATCAAGGGAAAAAAAAAACATTTCCACAGCCACAAAACAGCAGCATTTCTTATGCACAGTCTATTATTAATTACAAATAAATCATTTGGATGAAGTAAATGGAAAAGAAATTATTGAAACCTGCTTTTATGCAATGCTACATGGTGGTGTTTACAATTGTGATGGTTAACACGTTTGCTTTTCAAAATCGTTTGGAAATGAAACAAAAAATTTATTTTGCACATCCACGTATTAAAACGATACAGAGTCATTAAAAAATTAATTTGAAAAAAAAATTAAAACCACTTTTTAAACTCAAAAATAAACACACTCTAATACAAAAGAAACAGAAGAGAGATAGAGAGAAGACACTGACAGAAGGGCAAGTAGATGAGAACATTTTGGGGGAAGCATCGACAAGGTAGACCACGAATTCTTTCGACGATTCTCTTTGCTGCAGAATGTAGTTTAGCAAAATTAGTGTCTTATTTTTTGGGAAAAATAAATAAGTAAAAGTGACAAGAAGTAAGGACCTGACCTGATAGAATTCGCTATCGAGATCGTCTTCGTCATCTTTAAAGACGTCATCAGGGTCCAACTCCATTTCTTTCTTTCTTTGTTGATGTTTGGGAAACAAAAGAGAAAACAGAGAGATCACTCGGGGGGTTTGTCTTAGGTTTCTCTGTGCACTCACCCTCCCTCGTAATTTCTTAGATATTCGAAATTCGAAGAGGTCAGTGAAGAGTACTCGGTACTCTTTGTGCTTTTTTCTTTTTTTTTAATCGAAAAGTAAAATAGCGTCTAGCAAACACTGCGCCTGCACCGGTGGGCCTGAGAGAGGAGACCTAAACTGGGTTTGGCCCGTATGTTTTGTTTGGAAAAACTGTGTTTTTTAAAAATTTAAAAACAATATTTATGTTTAAAAATATTTTATTATATTTTTAAATTATTTTGATATATTAATATCAAAAATTATTTTAAAAAATAAAAAATAGTTTTTAATATATTTCTGAAAAAAATTAAAAATTAATACAATATACTCTCAAATACTCTTATAACTAAGATATTTTTTTATATGTTTTATTTTTTATTTTTTATTTAATTTAATAAATTTCAATTCAATTGATAATTTGTGAAGCTATTATGTTTAAAATAAAAAATTAAATAACACAATTTTATTCAATTTTATTATTTGAAATATTTATTAATTTTATTCAATTTCTTTGAAATATTTATAGAAATTACCTGCATTGACTATTTTTCTCTTCATTAAAGAAAAAAATATTTTTACATATTATAAATACCACTTTCAAATCAATCTTTAATAAAATACATTACAGCTTCACTTATGCGGCGGTTATAAATGCTTGTGCTCATGTGGCTACCATTAGTTTTGGGAAGCAAATGCATACTCAAATTATCAAACTATAATTGCAATCAGATACATTTCTGTGTGTACGCAACAGTCTTGTTGATATCAAGCAAAGTTAATTTTGGTTTGAAAAATACTAACTGTTTCTGCATTTGATTTCTTATATATAATTAAATATTTATTTGCATAACCTTAATTTATTGATATTGCATCTATTCTTATAAAAATTATTATTATCATCTACAACTTCTCTTATAAAAATTATTATTATCATCTACAACTTCATGCATGTTAAAATTAAAAGTTAACTCAGTCATTCTCCCGACATGCTCTTGTAAAAAACATATGGTTTTTCATATGCTAACCAACACAAGTATTTCTTTATAAACTCTTTTTATAAAAGATGCATCGTATAATATTTGGATCGATAAACTTTGGATTTTTACTCATCTTATATGTACATTTAATATCGCATCCACTAATATTTTTTGGATTAAATAGTAAGTAATGAATAAAACTATTAGCTTCATTACAATAATCTATCTTATGCAACCTTTCGGGTAAAATTCAATACATCCAAGAACGATCATCCATTACTTATATCAAAACTATATAAAATATTAATGACAACATGTATTAATTAATAATGTAAACTAAATAAATCAACTATCATTGATTTAACTCAAACTTATTCGATCGGTTATAATAGTACCTTTAAATTATTATCAATTTTCTACAAAGATTCAAATTTCTTTATATTTACTAAAATTTTCAACTTAACAATAAAATTAATAAAATATGAAACATACTTATTAAATAATCCATTATTTTTTTATTTACAGTCAAAATTAAAATCAATTTTATCAAATTACAAAAAAATATAACTTTTTAAAATCTCAAACAAAACCTAACATGTACAAATCATGCATTCATATAATAAATCTCTATGGAAAAAAAAGCTATAGAATAAGTATACATACAAACTACATATACTACAATAAAATGCCAAGAAAATTAACATTTAAAAAATAAGTTAAAATAAGAAATAGATAGTTTTGCTTATTTGATGTCAGAAATCTTCAAAAGAAATTAAATTAGAACAGAGATGCTAACAAACTGAGTGTTGGGGCCACTAGATTTGTGATAATAAGAATTTGATTTGTGATAAAATAAAAGGGTTGTTATTTTTTACTGAGAAAAATAGAAGAAGAAAAAGAAAAAGAAATGGGCGAGGGAGAAAGGGGATGTCAATTACCAAGTTATAATTTAAATATTACCAATGAATTTACTAAAAATTATTAGCGATAAGTTTATTTCATTGATAATATTATCTATAATAATGACATATTATTTCTTTTCTTTTCTTTTCTTTTCTTTTCTTTATTTTCTATTTTAATTCTCTCAGTATATACCAATAAAAAAATTTCATTTGTATATACTAATAGACATAAAGAGAAAATATTTCATTGGTAAATTTCATTGTAATTTATCATTGAGTTTTTTCTGGACAGTATTTTTATTTGTATTTGATAATTTTTTAATAGTGAAAAGAAAATAAAAAAAATCAAGTTGGCCACCAATCATATAGATGGAAAAGATAAGTATTACCTCTTAATTTATAGTAGTTTTGATAATTTTAATTAATCAACAACCAAACTTTTCATGCATAATTCTAATCAAGCCAATAACATATCACCAACTCATCTCTCTAGTCAATCATTTGATGTGAAGCTCATATGGACATGCAAAAAAATTCTTATACAATTAGAATAACCTATAAGATAATAAATCACATCCACCCGATTAGCTTCTTCTATTCATGATTTGTTTATTGCTACAAATATTTTTTCCTTCTTCCAAACATAATTGTTGATGTTTAAAATAGCTTATGCAATTTCTTTCATTGCACTAGTCATTTCTCTTAAATTTCAAGGATAATTATTTATAATTAATATTTGTTATTTTAAGAAGGATGTTATTGACACAAATGGAGTAGAAGATGATGGATCTTGGGTTCTTAGCTTTGATGTAACCTTTTCATAATAATTAAAAAAGAAAGAAAGATGGAAGTTACCTAAATTCATTTTATTATTTGCTTGCTTCTATTTAATGTCATTAATATTCACCTCCCTTTTTTTTTCTCATTTTTGAACCTTTTCTTTAGGATCCTTTCCTGAGCTAAATTGCTATATCTTTTTTATATGTCTTTTTAAGGATATCTTAATGATGAAAAAGTTTTTCTCAAATAAACCTCAACTTTGGATCAGTCTTGCAATAAAAAAATTAAACACATTAAAACAATTACATAAAAAAATTTATGATGAGTGAATTAAAATACTCATACTTCAACAAAACCTTCCACATATTCATTAAAATCTTAAATGTTTCAGTAGGGTCATTTAATTTAATTTTACTTTTGCATTCAATTTCTTTTGTTAGGATATTTGATTAAGAGTTTTAAAATGATAAGGGTATTTTGAGTTGAGAACTTAATATACTAAGATTATAAAGGTATTTTATTAGTTATTTGAAGGTGAAAATAGATTGCAAATAGTATTTTGATAAAAAAAATTAGCCTAATTTAATTTTTAACCACCTTTTTAATGACAAAAAAATTAAGCTTGTAGATGATGCATCGTGCAAAAATAAAAGGCAGATGATATATTATCAACCCCTTAACAAAAGACGATGAGTGTAGAGTTGTGAGTGCCTCGTGCCTTGTTTATATTTTCCATGGGCCCAGCCCTATCCACTTTCTATTTTCTTTTTTATTTTTTTAATGTTTTTAAATACATTTTTTTAAAAAAAAGAGAGAGATGCTTTCCATGATATTTCAATTATTATTCAATTTTTCATGGTTTTTAAATAATATTATAGATTTTTATATGAATATTAAAAATTTATTTCTAATTATTATGTAGCTGATATGAAAAAGAAAAATAGCTCACAGATATCCCCTGAAAAAATAGTCTTTAAATTTTCAAGATACATTTTTGACATGATTTTATAACATTTATAAATTATTGTTTAACTTCAATCGCATATAAACTATTGAAATATTATTTTAATATTTTTTAAAACTTGTTTTTGATATCATAATACATGTTTTTCATATAAAAGAGTTCTTGCAATTAAATAAATATGCTTTCATTAGAATATTTCTACAGAATTATATAAATTATCGTTATTATCTTTCATCTCAAAATTATAAGAGAGTAATTTCTTGGTCTCTTTTAGTAAACCAAAACTATTAGTTGCAAGTTCAATATTTTTTAAAAAAAAAATCTAAAGAAAATAATAGTATCAATAAACTTAAGATACCGTTATTTGGAAGCTAATTTAAGTTTATATATTGATTTCTTAAGCTTACACGCAATGTGCTTCTTTCCTTTAACTAAAAATCGTATAGACTTCCTTTTTAAATTATTATTTATAAAAATAATTTTTTAACATTCATATGATATAACTTTAAGTCATAATAAGCTATAAGAACCACAATAATCTTAAGTGAGTTTTTTTATATATATAAATTAGTGAAAAGATCTTTTTATAATCAATGTCATATTTCTAAATAAAATAATGGGTAAAAAACATAGCCTTGTATAGGTCAATAATGCCATTTAAGTCTCATTTGATTTTAAAGTTTTGTTTATATTTGACTTTTTTGCAACCCTCAAGTATCTCAATAAAGTCTCAAAATTTATGTTGATACATAGATTTTAATTCATCTTTTATTATATCTATTGATTTATTAGAATTACCACTATTAATATCAATATCTGAAAATAAAACCTAATCATCATTAATTCTTTAGTTAAATTTTGACTTTCATAGATATAATATATAATTATTTAAAATAACATAGTTTCATGTTTTTGAGACCTTTTTAATACTATTTCTTGTGGTTTATTTATTAATAATATTTTTATTATAAGATGTATAATCTTTCAATTGTTGTTCTCAATAATTGTTAAACTAATCAACAATTAGAGGAGAAATGACTTAAAAAGATGTAAAGGATGATAAAACTTCTATCTTAATTTCTTAAATTTTTATATTGTATGTTTTATTTTTCATTTTTGTTAACTTTATCATTTTCAATAAACCAAACATTTTCAATTTCAATAATTCTTGTGTTATGGCTACAATAATAAAATTTATACCTCTTAGATTTTTCTAAATAGCTAATAAAAAAACCACTAGTTATTAGTTATTCTTAAATTTTTTTTTAAGTGGATTATAAATTCATATTTATGTCGATCAACCCTCCCTAAACATACATGTAGGTGCCTTAAACTAGGTTTCTCATTAGTTCACAATTCATAAAGTATTTTTAGAATTGTCTTCCTAGTAATCTTATTTAATAAATATATGAAAGTTTATAATATATACATCCAT